AAAAGTATGTGACCCTCAAGGAAAAAAAATTATACAAACCCAGGGAAATTCCAACATAATGCTTGAATGGCATTTGTTGGGATAACTTGTCTGAGTGAAACCTGTTACCAGATATTTCAATTACATGAAGCTGTGTGATATTACTGGATACAAAGCATGACCAAGTGGAGACATCACTAAGCACCCTGCCGTTCAAGGGTGCCAAAAGTAGTACGCGCTTCAACCCAGAGACACTTAAACAGACCCTTCCCCACCTTCCTATTACCATCTCAGTAAAGGCATCTGCACAGCTTGTCTGTATCTGTTCAGCAGTCAGAGGGCTGTTCAGTGCAAAGGGTTTCTTCAGTCCTCTTTCATTCCGAACTCTAGTTACTGCATATCTCAAAGCAAAGAAAACAGAGCATCCCAAGAAAAGTCCTGCCTCACCTATCCCCTGAAAAAGAAGAAAGTCAAATAGGTGTAGGTTTTGAGCAAATGAGGAGTACATACCGTATCAATATAAACTAAAAAAGCTTAAAGGTCAGTGACTTAAGAAGTGTTTCATCCTTCAGTAAAGAAGTTTATTTTAGACTTGGTTGAAGCAGGCTTAGATACTTCTTGGTAACTGCTTCCAGGGAGCTAAAAAAATTTATTTAAAATATTGGCTATTGACTTTTACAATATTTTTAGCTTATTGCTGAACTGAAATTTAGAGTAACTGGCAGATAAAATTAAAACAATCCAAACCCAGATACAACTAAGAAACACAGCCTGAACTCATGGTAATTCCCAGCAGACAAACACTATTGACCTCAGAGTGGGCTTGACATCCTCCCACTGGTTCTGACATAACATTCGCATTTGTTCCTTATCTCAAAGACAGGCCACATCTGTTGACGCGGAAGTCACGGACACTGCTGACGATCAATGTGATCAAGCAAATGCCACTTTATTAACGCACTAACGCAGTTTATATACAGTTCACAACATCCTTGTTTTCTGAATGCTCTATATTGATTGGCTATTAACAACAAACACACGCAGTCCATGCTCCTGTTCACACGCTGTTTTCCTTTGCTGTTTTGCTCTTCTTCTCCCCACCTGCAGCCTGGGTTTGTTTCTGTTTTCAGTCACATACACCAGCCACAGCTCCTTGTTTTTCTTTGCTTCAGCATATTCTCACAGCTAGTGACCTTCACAATGTCCTTCACAAACTCTTGTCAAGCGAGGCCTAAAACTTGTCTAAAAACAGGCCGTCTGGCTTGTTCGAAACATGTCTGCTGTTCTCTAAATATCCCACACACATCCACACTGATCCCACAGTCCTCTCAGTGCTGTGGTACTGAGCATTTTCATCTGAACAGGATGGGGATACTGCAATTGAATCTTAACCCACCCCCTTGCTAAAATCTGAGAACCAAATGTCTTCCCTGAATATGCTGCATGAAGACAGAATCACGCCTTCTTGCAGCGAATTTTAAGGGTAATTCTAGGTGACAGGTTCACAGAAAAGGATAAAAGCTCTGTTTGAAGAGGAATATTAGTATTAGCTCTCTATATCAGCTTCCAATGAACTATGTAACTCCTTCGCCTAGGTTATAGTTTTTCAAACATGTATGTTTCTAATTATATATTGAGACAGCTTTAAATAATTTTCTGTTCTATTTTACTATATTCTAAAATCATATCTAATACTTAAAACAGCTGGAAATTTGCAGAATTACCATCATCTTGATTTACCATTGCTACTTATATGCAAATGGCCAGAATATTTGCTGGTGTAAATTGAAGCAACAATTACACCAACTGAATACGTGAGCCAACCTCTCATGTAAGTATACACACAGAGTCCTATTTCTTACTGCATAACACACATAAGCAAGCTGCACACTCTCATTGTCATTATGATTTCTCCATCAATTTCTTTGGTATTTTTATTCTAACCATTTAGCTTATAACCACATTTTTTAAAGTATGGTTTTAAATTCAGCTTGCAGCTTCTGTGCATGGCCTGTTAACAAAACTACAAATTACTACTTGACGACGATGAAACATATGCATCAATATCCCATGTTATGTCTTCATATTAGCTTCCTTGGTGTGGTAGATAAGACAATTTTAGGAACACTTGTTTGAAATGATAAGAAGAGAAGCTGAAACCTTGTGTATATTTTATATCAGAGCAATTTCTCTGTTAGTCCTGCGATCTAAGGGTTAAGCCCTGTGATGGTTTGTTTACCTTGGATGCATAGATGGCATAAGGATTTTGGGAAGATGACAGAAGGGAAAACACTAAACTGTTCTGGAATATCACAAACAGCAGGGATCTTGTACTGATCCGGACCCCGAGTATAGAGGACTCCTTCTGGAGAGTACTTTAATTCCTCCATCGTGTACAGTCCAATGCCTTGAACAAAGGCGCCTTCGGTCTTTAAATAAGAAAAGAAATAGCATTTACGTCCTCATGTTTGGTAACATGCATGAAACTTTGGCAAGAACTGACTTGTATCACTAGCTGTTAGAAGACCATTTTCCATCCTGTTTGCCTTATGAGATTCTTCAACATTTTTGTGCTACCATGATGAGAAAAGATTTCACACTCCTCTCATACCAGGCAGACATGCTTCTGTGATGAAGTGAGGAGCTCTGTGGACCAGCCTGCCATGAATGAAGATGTTTCCCTGCTACCAAGTGGGGAAGGCAGGTCAAACAACAGAAGACTTTTGAGACAATAGATCATAAACAGAATTTAAGTCCCCCAGATAGCAGACATATATACATAAAGAAATACTACAGGTTGACACAAGGAGTCAAATTCAAGCTTCATTGATATTTATATAGCTCTGACACTAACTCAAATGAGGCCATTCTGCAGGCAAAGGACCTTCTAATACAATCTATGACTTGTAACATTATTTAGTAAGAAATTAATGTTTTCTGAACTAATGAGGTAATCTCCACTTCAGATAAGGCTGCCAGAACAGAAATAAGAAGATAGGAAATTCTTGGCACATACCTGTCCTATATCCACAGCTGGATTTATGCTGCTTCCAATGTCCATAAAAATGTCTGTTCTCAGGTTCTGTGAATAAAATTCAAATGCATGTTACTTGGAAAGATGCACGGAGTCGAGGCATTGGAACATAATGTGATATTCAGTGGAATAATACATCATAAGATAGAGGCCCCTCCATGTGCACAATTTCAAAGTAAATTCCAATATCCTGTTACAAGCGAAATAAGCTTGTTTCAACTTTAACAGATTAGCCAAAGACAGTCCTGCCAGATTCTTCCCATAGCACGAGCATATCACCACATAAGTAAGTACAGACAGAGGACATATGATCAGCAGTCTAAAACATTTAGCTGCCTTAGATGGTCAAAAACCTATAAATAGATTATTTGCTGGCATGAGGGAGAGAACAGGCAGAGAACATGTCAGGTGTTTACCATAACTCAGAAAGTAAACCCATATGATATTCATACAGATGTGCCAAAAAGCTGGTTAACACTGCGCAGCTTTCATTCTGCTCAATATTGTGGGGGACGGCAGCTGGACTGCTGGTAACCTGGCATTGGTTGAAGACATTGACCTTGACAAATTCCCAGTGTACCCTTAAGATGGGAAGTTGTGTGTACTGAGTTTGGACACGTTTGCGGAACTTTCTCCCTCAACATCCGGGGGGATGAGCCCAGCCAGAAGCTGCTAATTGTTACCCAATTAGAATGTGAAAAACAAGTGTTTGACCTATAAGCAAAGGCCACGCTACCTTCTTCTAGTACCTTTGACTATGTATAAAAGGCACACCCTTTCTGTAATAAAGGAGCCATTTTTGAGCCATTCTAATACCATTCAGTTGTGTCATGTCCGTCTCTACAACGACACAATATGTCTACTATCATGTGAAGACAGGTGACTTATTAGTGCGAAACTTGAATGGTTGTTGGAGCATCCAGTGATACAAACCTCAGTCACATTGTTTACAAAACTTCCATGACACTCAGTTATTACCTTGTGATCTCCTGTTAGACAGTTAATTTCAACCTCTGAACAAGAGGCTCCATAAAGAAAATATGTGAATGGCTGTCCTTCCCCTTTCTCCCAATCCATGTTTTCACTGTAACCTCTGACAAAGGTATTTGAATCATTATAAAGCAGATGAACACATGAAACTTTGAAAGTAGTTTAAGTGAAACCTTAAAATAGCAGGTCAGAACTCCAGCAGTTAAGTTCTGTGAAATCTTACAGTGCACTAGTAGTTAGGTTTGGTGGATCTGGTTTTTACATAAAATTTAGCAGACAAACAACTCAAGGCCAGCCGTATCCTGGGATATATCAAGAAGAGTGTGGCCAGCAGGTCGAGAGAGGTGATTCTCCCTCTTCACTTTGCTCTTGTGAGACCCCACCTCAAATACTGCATCAGTTCTGATGTCCCCACCATAAGAGGGACATAGATCTGTGGGAGCATGTTCAGAGGAGGCCACAAATATGATCCAAGGGCTGGAGCACCTCTGCTACGAGGAGAGGCTGAGGGAACTGGGATTGTTCAGTCTTGAAAAGAGAAGACCCCAGGGAGACCTAATCGCTGCCTTCCAATACCTGAAGGGAACCTACAGGAAGGCTGGGGAGGGACTTTTTACAAGAGTGTCCACTGATAGGACAAGGGGAAATGGGTTTAAGTTAAAGGAAAACAAATTTAGATTGGATCTTAGGAAAAAATTCTTCAGTATGAGGGTGGCAAGACTCTGGAATAAACTGTCCAGAAAAGCTGTGGATGCCCCCTCACTTGAGGCTAGATGAGGCCTTGAGCAACCTGGTCTAGTTAAGGGCAGCCCTGCCCATGGCAGGGAGGTTGGATTAAATGATCTCTAAGGTCCCTTCCAACCTAGGCCATTCTATGATTCTGTGATTTCAGTTCAGGAGGTTTTATAACTAGCATAATCCCAGAAATAGACTGACAAAGACATGGTAATCAAGTACACAATACAAATTTAAGGGAATTCAGGAAAAGGGAGGAAACCTGATCAAGACCTATGAAAGAATAACTTACAAGTGACAAATGAAAGTGACAAAACTGCCTACAGGATGAGTGAGAGAGTTAAAACAGGAATATTGAAATAAAGGTGTAATTACTTAGAAGGGTGTGGGACTAACTGAGGAGACTATAGTAGTCAGGACTGATGAGGTAAATTGAACAGACACAAGAGAAAGGTAAAATGCAGTATCTCCCAACGATGTGAGCTATGTTCTGTTTTCTAATTGCATGTGACTGAAATGTCTTTGTTGAGAATATTTGAAATTGTACCCCGTAAAACAATTATTGAATAATTCAGAGCACTGAACCATACATTGAAAAAGGCATATGCAAAATTCACATTTTCAACTTCTCACATCCCATCTACCTCAGATGGCATGGAGGTTCTTGGATATGGAGATTATAACTGGATAAGAACTAGTTCAATGCAGATTTTGAGGCTCAGTGATCTGCAGATGTTTTTGGACATCATTAAATGTCAATAACAAAGTATGACTGTTGCTCATTGCTTTGGAGATGTCAACATTCCTAAAGGGCTGCATAAGCAGAAAACATACTTGAACAGACTTAGCAGCAGGAAGGGACATTTTGTTTGAACTTTTTAGACAAGTATGAGTTTGTGAAGTGCCTCTTTGACTTACTCCAGACTGCCTGAATACCTGAAAAGCTGCTATTGGTAAGTAGGTACATATAGGTGGAGGGAGAGAAGATAAAAGGCACAGCAAGCTAAGAGAGAAGCTTTGCTTTGAATACCACCTGAGTTATAGGACAGGAATTTTTCCATTCTTGCTCTTTATAAACACTGAAAAAAAATCAGAAAAAAAGGGCCATGAGACTGCAATGAGAGAGAGCAGTAGGAATTATGTTTAAGATTACTGTGTCCTACAACAGCATGCTGTTGTGAGTCAATCCATATCTAAGGGTGTATAATGGTAGAAATTTTCTGAGGCTCCAGAAGCAAAGAAGTCAAAACAATGACCTCAAAACTCAGGTCAGTAAGTAAACCCCTTCTCCTATGAGCAAAGTCCCCCCCTAGCTTTCAATTAGTGCTGAATCATGGAATCTGATTCCTGAGTTAGTTTAAAAAAAACACCGAAATATAAATTACCATGAGCTTTCTCAACTAGACATTTTAAATTCTCCTTCCTCTAAAGAGAAATAATCCTAAGGTTCAGATCTATATTTAAATGGGCCTAATTTTTCAAAAGTGCACCACGCTGCTAATTGCAGGTGTGCTCTGGATAAATATTCTAATGCTGCCACTTGTTCTTCCTGTCACACAACTTGGTGTGATAATGTTTCTGGGTAAAAGTGCAAATAAGCTGTAGTACAGCAATATTTATGGTTTATAGCAATACAGCCTCCAGTAAATAAACTATATCCCACTCTGCACACCTACTGTTATGGGCAGCAGTCACTTTCTTGATGCTTTCTGCTTTGCTAAGTGCCAAATCATAGAGCAAAAATGGGACAAAGTATACTTGTGGTACTTTCTAGAGTTCACATAGGACTAGGTATAAATTGGCACTTAAACTTTATACTCCAGTGCCCCATTACATAAAGCATAAGCTGGAAAATATCTTCTATGCACAGCTATCTTCAGAAATCAGTCCTGGTCTAACCTATGCATTTTTAAGGAACAAAAATATATTACCTAAAGTAGCCAATACCTGAAAGACTCAGACTGTGTTCAAAAGCTTCTTTAATCTGTAAAATAGAGCAGTGTTTGTGGTAAACCAAGACAAGAATCAGGAAGGAATACAGCATAAATATATTTACTTAATTTACATATATTTATTTATTTACTTATAATTACTTAAAAAGCAAACTGTAACAAACTGTAAAGAAAGTAAGACCAGTTGAGCTAAGTGCGTTTAGCTGCACATGCCTAATGCTGTAGTGTTAAATCTCCTGTGCATGAGCAATCTGAATTTTTTTGGCAATACAGTAAGACCCATCAACAATGGTGTTCTTGCAGAATCTTTATTACTGCTAATGCCATAATCAGAAAGGGCCCTTCTCAGTTTTTCTGCTCACATTCAGTAGAAATGGGTCCCTCTTTGTCAATTGGAACAGGTCTGGTTGATAAGCCACTGAGATAAAAGACCTGCGTGACCTATTTGCACAAAAATGACAAACGATAAGAGAATGCTCTTTGCAGTGTTATGTTGGTAGTATAAATGACAGTATGAGGTTCTAAATCTACTCCTTTTCAGCGATTTTCATGTTAGACTTACTCAGTTTAGAAGTCAAGAAGTTATTTTGAGTTGGTTTGTTTTTTAAAAAAAAAAATAATTGTAATTTATTGACTTTGCAAGATGTAAAGTTACTTCTCAGCATATATTAACATTCTTTCTTAGGTCAGCCATTTCTGCTGAATGTGTCTGAATTATCCAGATTAATTTGGCACCTGTAAGAGGAGATTCTCTTTGCATACACAGCTGTTAGTTATCAAGCTACCACATGTACTCCAACATGTATTCTACTTCCTATTGATAGGAATTACTACTGCCAAGAAAGTGTTTACACTTTCACAGTTACTATAGTATTTAATCACTTGAGGAGAAACACTCTAGCCTACTGGATCTGTAAATGGGTCAAAACAGGGACTGTCCTTTTCATTAGGCCACAGACAACAAGCAGTATTGGAGACGAAGACATAACAAACAAGTTTTCTTTTAACATGTCAATACATAGGACTAGATTGTCAGCCACATCATCATAAAATAGTTGATATTATAGCAGGAAGTTTTAGTTAAGAAAATTAATTTTCTAGCACTAAAATTCCATTCCAGTTTCAAGTGGACACCAGATAGGGAGCAGTAGCTTTAGCACTACTCCTCTGTCACTCTACTGCCAACATAGCTGATATTATAAAAATAATTACATATTAGAGCAATGGGAGCAAGGATTCTTGCTGCCTTTTATGCAGTTCTGTAATAGACTACATATGGGAGAGAGATGGAAGGAAGAACCTGAGAAGACTTCTCTTAATTAATTTGATAAAAATAAAGAACAGCCATGTAGGAAAACTGACACTGTACACATACTGACAATCTTTTGGCAACAGTTTGCCTGAGGGTAGGTTGGGGTGGGTGATGTTATTGCACAAGCTGGTATTTTTTGTACATTAAAAACTTCTGTGCCTCCAAATGGGACTTCACAGATCACCTCCTGTCCTTTCCAGCTAGAAGGATCTGGGGATTGTTTCCCACATACCTAAACCAAGCATCTACACTCCATCTTCCTGTGTAATAACCTGTTTCTACAGTTTTTAACTTTAGGATTATTAGGCTGAATGGACCAATAGACCACAACACATAGATCAAGTTTCTGCAAGCACACAAACACATTTAGTAGGATTCACGTCTTACCCAGTCATTCCATGTCCCTTTTGGATTCTTGTCAATTATAGGCTGCAGGCGTTTCAGAAGAGTTTGACAAGCATCCTGGTGAGAAATCAGGAGAATATAACACAAAATCAACACAGATACATTTGCTACTATGCAAGACATGTTCTGGTTTCTACTTAATTAGTGTATGCTTTACTGTCATCTTGGTTTGAAAAAGTATGATAGGAGGTGTCATTTTAACTGCACAGACATGCAAACCTTACAAAGAGTTAAGTTACAAGGGCTGGAATCTGCATGAATTAGTAGATGCAGTGATATTATTGGTAATCTCACACTTGACTTCTATGGGATCACTAATGCTTAAAGTTTTTCAGGCATGGGACAAGGTGTTTTGTCCAACTAAATACTGCTCTTTACCTTCACAGCCATGCCATTGACATCCGTCCCTGCGGATCCAGCTGAGGCGCATGCGTTGGGAACAGTGGTTGTGCTTGTTTCACAGAAGTGAATCCATGACATGGGGATGTTCAATTCCTGACTAGCAACCTGTTTCAGGAAAAAACAATATATTCTTCTCCGGTTTAGAAACATTCTAAATGCTCAAGCAGCTACTCAGTACTTGCTAGAAGTCAGTGATACCAGGAAAGAAAGAGTCTTAGCAACTCCTTTTCCAACCTCCAGCTTAAATCATTCTGTCCCATTTCTCAGTACAAGAAACAGAAAAAAGTGCAAGGTTTGAGCTGTACTCAAACTCCGGACTCCAATACTCGGTTCTCAATTTTGCTGCTTATATTCTGTATGACTTAGGGCAAATTATGCAGGCCCAGATCTCAAGCTTACATTGATGTGATAAATACTTTCACAGATCTGTCTCTCAATTATTCATTGAACAAATATGATCATAATAATGTCTGTACTGTCTACTAACCTGAATACTGACTGTCTTTTTTTTTTGCCAGGAGTTTTGCTGGATCACCCTCTCAAAATCTTATTTCTAATAAGCCTCTTCATATACCATTGGAAGAACAAAATCGAAACAATCCGTTTTTAGTTTCTGCTCTCTCTATGACTCAATGAAGGTGTCTTTGCTGTCTAACTCTGTTAACGCAGAGAAGCAGTGGCTGTGCTCTAAAGGCAAATATCCTACTGGTACACTAACTAACCAAAAGAACCTTCAAACTGTTTATCTGCATGACAGGTAAAGCCCATGGTAGCATTTGTTTTGATCATTCGTTACCTGGATCATTTTTGTATGAATACCCTGTCCCATTTTAATTTCACCACGTGTCAGAAGCACAGACCCATTGGTGTAAATATGAACCAGCGCAGCAGCCTAAAAAGAAAAACAAAGTCAAGATTAGATTACTGAGAAATGTGTTGTAGATGGTCACAAATTGATGAATCAAGAGACAGGCATAGTTTAGAAGTATATTTTAATTTACCTGCTTAATGCTTTTCAACAGGAAGCAAAAATTTGGATTGCTAGACCCTGCTATTTGTCTATAACGAACTTCAAAAGAAAGAGGTATAAATCCTTGGAGGTCTGCTTTTTCTGTTGATAGATCCTTAAATAAATCTACACCTTGCAATAGTATCTCAGTGGTTCAAAAAGAACTTGGAGGACCTTCCTCATTAGTGGCTGCACATGCAAATTACTGCAAGTTCCATTTTCTCTCTCCCTCATGTCTGAGAGCCTTTGGACACAGGTGTTCCACTAGTGTAGTTGGGCAGGCTGTCAGCATTAGACACAGCAGAAAGGTTTTGCATGAGGTTTTCCTCCTGGACTCAGTTGCAAAAAGACCCTCTGACTTAGTCTGGAAGAGATACAGCCAGTCTGATATGATCCAGGCCAGCCAATTGTTTTGCAAGTGAAAAAATGCTGTCTATTCCAGAAGCATTGGACACCTATATAAAAAAAAATACCACAACCAAAACCACTATTATCCATCTTTTCCTCCTTAAACTTAGTCTTTGATGACAAAGGGTTAAGTCTTTAAGAGTAGCATTCCACAGTACCCCCACGGTTAGCAAAAGTAAGCTCAGAAGTATTTCTAAAATAGATAGCTTATGCAATGAACACTCCACCATCACTCCTCACAAGCCTTTCATGAAAGTTTTCAGCTCCTCTACACCAATACCACTTCACAACAGATCGGACTGGCCTTTAAGTGGGCAGGGTCCCAGCTGCCTGCATCCTGAAAACCAAACAGCTTTACTCTCAGCTTGAAGAGAGCTAGACACTACTGTGGCCTTCAGGGAACAACCATTAGGAGGATCAGAGTTTTCCAGAAGTTGAAAGATTACGTATTTGTTTTGTATCTGAAGGTAAATAACTGTAACCTTCCATGGATAAAAAGCTTAGCTCGCTTATTCTTTAAAGAAACTAACCTGAGGAAGAAAACATGTGCCTAGTCCAAATGGAAACTTCATTGGTAAAATGGCAATCCCTTTTTTCTTCCAGTAATTTTGTTTGTTAAACTCATCAACAGCTGTTTTCCTACTGTAGTATGCAGATTTCTCCATACATTCATTCCAATACCGTATTAAGTTTTGTGGATCAAGCTTTTGTTTGAAGTGTGTCTGCTCGTTCTCCTTATACATATTTATTTCTCTAATCTGAAATAATAAAATTAACAGCCATCACATAATCCTGTTAAAGGCAGACTGACCATTCAGGGAGACTAGTAGACAAGAAGATGATTACTCTGTGTTTTTTGAAGAATTAGCAGTTTAGTTCAGTTTGTAAGAGCATGCTATTCATTCAACGACCAGACATTGATTTTAAAAAATATGAATTTTAGCACAAATTATGTTTAACTTAGAAAAGATTTTTTTTTCAAACAGTTGAGCTAATCTAAAGGATTTTAACTTTCCAACCACATAGACTTCATTTCACGAGAGAAGACACCTTCATTTCATCACCTTTTCTGATGATAAACCTGTTTTGTCTGCAACTGCTGTTATCCAAGTTTCTGTCACCAGTGCTGACTGGGGAAAGCCAAACCCTCGGAACGCTGTGTTTGGTGGCAAGTTTGTTTTGCAGGCAAAAGCCTGGCATCTCAAGTTGGGAATCTTGTATGCATTGTCCAGTTTTAACAAGGCTACTTCTGCCACCTGAGGTAGGGGACAAAAAGGTCTAGTTAAATGTCAGAACAGTGCTTCTTTCGAATTCACATTTAAATCTTTCTTAACTTGAGACAAGCAGCTTAAAACACAGCCAGACACGTTTATAATGGGAAAATAAGCCTGAGAAAACCCTCATGAAGTCAATACATAGAAAAAAGTGTTTCACTGAACTGAATAAAGAAAGATTAAACTACTAGGTGTCCCACAACCCACAGTGCTTATATCAGAAGGCTGTATGATTAACAACACATGTGCAAGGGAATTTGGCCTTTATCACTATCCAGCTTATGATTCCTCCACATTACAATATTTTTCAGCTTACAAAATCCTTACCAGGACAGAGTCATCAGGGGTGCATCCTCCATTAATGTAGTATTTGGTATCCACAGCTTTGATTCTACCATCATTCATGAAGCCAACCTAGAAGGATCAACAATAATCTACTTAGATTAATTTATTCAGTGTTTATATTTTGAAAATGAATGTAACCCACATAACTAGGCTCACACTGTACTACAAATTTTGCGGCAGCACTCACTGAAACTATAGAAGAGCAAGAGAGAAAGAAAGAATGTTCATAAGATATTGGCTTTCCCACCTGGCACCTGTGATGTGAGTAAGTACAGCGTGCAAGAAGCAACATCAGCCCATTGGGAAGGGAAGGAGCAGGGAAGCCGAGTGGCTTCCTGCGTATGGGCTGAGACAGCTGGGAAGTGTGTGAGTGTGTGTGTGCGATCCAGGAATGCTCACTGCAGGCAAAGGTAAATCCCACTGACTGTAAGAATCGTGTCTGGCAGGTGGAGAATGCATTTGTTTTTCCTAATGAATAAAAGTTATCTTTATGTTGCATCTCTCTCTTTGTCTACTGCCAGTAACAGCTCCTGAGTTCTCAGCATGAGCCACAGCTCATTTTCAACTTATGGGAAGCATCTTATAAAACCTCTCTTACTTTACCTATGTTGTGGAGATGGAGAAGAAGACACACATTGTCTTAATGAATAGTTACGACTGATGACAGTGATTGAGCAGAGAACAGATTAATTTCCTCCACAGGCTGAGTTTTCCTGTATGACACCGTTTCTGTGAAAAACTAACTGCTCCTTTGTGTGAACCCAACCATACGGATGGTTTAAAATAAACCTCTGCAGAAGTCTGAGCTTGTTTGGCTTCCCATTGCCACAAAGCAAGACAGATAAAGCTATAAAGGGAAAAAGACACCAAGTGACTAGCAAAAAACAAAACAAAATCCTGCAGAGATGGAGGCAGAAGCAGAGAAAAGGCTGTACAGCAACCTTCTCTCTAAGTTTCCCAGCTAGTAGTTGTGTTTAAAAATTTAATTGATTACACTAATTTACATTAATAGAACAAATAGTCACCAGCAACACTGAAATACTTATTCACAGAATACAGGCAGGTATTTTTTCACTGAAGTCCTGTGGCACTAACTTTATATTTACCAGTAAAATGATGTCGCCCACCAGTGATTAACATATCATCCCCTCGACTGAGGATAAGACGGACTGCTCTGTTGGTTCTAAATCATTGAAAGAAAAGTCAAATTTCGTTCAAAATATGAGAGGTTTTTAACAAGATTGCTATTTATCATGTATCCAGATCCAGCCATGCATCTAAACATGCATTTAAACTGAACTGAACTTTAACAGGCTTAAATATATGCACAAAGCTATGTCCAGAGTTCATATTTTTTACATTTACAATCACGTCAGATATTTCATTTCAGCTACTGAAAGCCAATGGGACAACTCAGTGCAAAATTATTCTGAAGAAATTGTTACTTCAGTGTTAAGAATGAACTGTGTGAAGTGAGCTAATGGCAGTTAGCATTCAATCTTTAGCAAGAATCAGTTGTCTCTTAGCTACTCAGAATTGTACTGAAATAGGGTGCCTTGTAATAGAAAAAACAAACATGGATAATAAAAAAAAATTAGTCTGCAAATGTATATATTTAAAACAGTGGCTTTTTAAGAAGAAGGATGTAAGACGTAAAAGAAAGTTCTAACATAAAAGCAGATTGTTTAAACTGTAAAAAAAGATTATTTTTAGAATGGCCCAGTTAATCCAAAGCACAGATAACGTAGGCAAAAATAACCAAGAGCTGTCTGTACAACAGGGATAGTACTGACGAGAGCAATACATGAAGCTAACCACTCAGATTACGAGATCATTTTGGCTAATTGTCAGTATCGTCCTGCCAAAGCTGGAGGGAGGGGGATGGAGCTTTATGTGTTGAGGTTCCTAAACTAATTCAAGTAGTATTAACAAAACTATAATGTCTAATAGATTTAAGGTAATTTTGTCTGAAAGATGTTGGGGACTGAAGGAGAACTACTTGTTCTGAAAAGCGGTTCCACTCGTGAACTCTTTCATCCTGCTGTGCCTGTCAAGTTCCCGTCTGGATAGTTAATGTTATGTTTGGAATGTGAGTACAATTAATTGGAAAAGGAGAAAGCATTTTAGCCAAAATACAAAACCTGTTCACCACACTTTCTCTTCATATCCCAGCACACACATACTCCATTCGCTTACTTGTTTGCTGGCACTGCAGCAAGTGATGCCAGTAAGCCAGCTTTCAGGATTTTCCCACCAAAAGCTCCGCCAACCTGTTTAACGTGGCACATGATTCTGTTGGCTGGAACACCTAAACTTGCAGCTACCATTTCCTGTAAAACCAGTTTTAATCTTTTATGCCAATTCAAACTAAGCCTAAAAGGTAGGTTCTGAAATAAAATCCTTTCCTAGAAAAGGGTTCCATAAATGTTTTAGTTTTGTTGTGGTTTTTTTTTTCTTTTCTTTTTAACAAGCCAAATGAAAATATTTTTTTCTTTAATCTAGGTTAAAAAGCAAGAAAAAGATAACAGCAAACACTCAGCAGTGTTCACATTTAAAATCTCTCTGAAGACTCTGAAATGGCCATGGAAGAATAATACCCTTGGATTTCATTATCTAAACAGCAAGAAGCTTCAGGTATAAGAAAAAGGGATTAGAATACAGTTTTAATTATTTTTATTAGTACGATCAAAAAGCTGATTTTAATTTTTAATTCAAATAAACCCATTTGGTTTTTAATAATCTAAAATCTTGTTATTCTCTCTTGAAATCGTTTTCTCAGACACAAAGTTCTTTATGCTTCTTGGCTACTTGCAATGCAATAATAATGGAAATGATAAAAGATGTCGAACTGGTCTTTGAACACAAAATGCCTGTGCTGAGTCTGAAACACTACAAGTTTCATGCACCACAGCTATTGCTGTGTAAACCACACACTATGCCAGCATTTCACAGAATCATAGAATAGCCTAGGCTGGAAGGGACCAGCCTCCCTGTTGCCAGGGATGCCACCTCTTGACTAGATCAGGCAACACATGGGGACCGAACGGGACTGGCTTTACCACTGAGCATCATGAAAATGATCAGAGGGCTGGAACATCTCTCATGTGAAGAAAGACTAAGAAAAGAGAATGCTCCAGGGAGACCTTACTGCGACCTTCCGGTATATAAAGGGCTCTTGTAAGAAATGGACTTTTTACCAAGGCAGAACAAGGGGCAATAGTTTCAGACTGAAAGCGGCGAGGTTTAGATTGGACACAAGAAACTTTTTAAAATGAGAGTGGTGAGGCACTGGGATGGGTTACTCAGAGAAGCTGAGGATGCCCCATCATTGGAAGGGTTCAAGGTTAGTCTAGACAGGGCTTTGAGAGACTTATCTACTGAAAGATAATCCTGTCCATGGCAGGGGGGTGGATTAAATGATCTTTAAAGTTTCCTTCAAACCCAAATCATTCTATGATCAGGATTTTGGCATGGAGGAGCAATCTCACCTACAGTTATTAGAGCTGATCAAACCCTCAGCAGACTCTGACTTTTATTTCCTCCTTACCCTTGCAGAGTAGTGGTTAGCGTTAATCAGGATGCAGCAATACAACACGCAGCTGCTGTTGGATAATCTGTATGTGTAATTTCATGTACCTACTCCTTTTAATCTGTTAAAATGGATTTGTAAACCAAACTTAAAAAGCTGTATTGTCACAGGTTCAACCAGTTTCTCTGCAAGTGCTCTGTATTACCTGAATAGTTGCTGGTTGCTATGTTGACACATACACATCCATTTCTTTATCCCCTCCTTTTGGAACAGCAAGCACACTCTGAGTCTCCATGTAAAAGTGTTCCTGTCCCCCAATGCAAATTTCCCCTGATCCAAGGAGAAAAACACAAGTGTTACTCAGGGAAAAGGACAGAGGAAATAAGGCAGGAAACAACTAACTACCCAAAATCATGTAAATTATAGTAATTGGCTGTCCTCTCTTATTATGCTTCTTGTATGAAGGAGCAACATTTAAAAATAAAACCACCAATGAAACTCTTTGCAGGATTAAATTGGTCTTGGTCCAGTGGCTTCAACAGAACTTAATTAATAGTGCAACACTATTACCTACAAGTGGCGACACTACTAAATGAAACATAGATACATTGAACAAAGTATAGACATACTGGCCCAGGATACGAAGAAGGTCAGCAAGGGGTCTGGACCACAGGACGTATCACAGGAAGCTGAAAGAATTGGATTTATTCATCCATAAGAAAAAAAAACTTTAAGGGGAGATCTTATTGCTGTCTACAACTACCTAATGGGAGCGTGTAGAGAAGAACAAGCCAGATTGTTCTCAGAGATGCACAGTGGAAGGATAAGAGGCAATGAACAAAGGAAATTCCAACTCAATATAAGTAATTAAAAAAAAAAATCACCAGGAAAACGGTCAAATAGGGAAGAGATGCCTATAGAGGTTGTGGAACCTCCATCTTTGGAGGTGTTCAAAACCTGACCAACACAGTCTTCAGTAACTTGTTTTAACTAACTAACTGCACTTGCTTTAAGCAGGAGGTTGAACGAGATGACGTGTTTCCAACCTAATTATTTTGTGATTCTGTTTCAAGTACAGAGGATGCAGGAAGCTTGAATGTAGTAGCAGGAGCACAAGAACACTAGGTTTAATCACTTTCTTCTATGTGACCAACAGCTTTCTCAGGCCTAATGGCTATATGGAAAAAGGTAAAACTGAGACTCGAAGAACAGACAGACAAACCCAAATACTGACAATAACTTCTCAACAAATATATTCTGCAGTTTACCTTCAATTATATTATCAACAGTTTCAAATGACTGATCAATATTTCCATGTTCTAATTTTCTTTTTGGCTCAAAGAATGAGTTGTGCTTTATATAGCCTCCTGCAGTGGAGAAAAAGAGAAATAGGGTAGGGGGTTTTAAGTATTTTATAGGTTCCCAGCTTGTTGTGGCATTTTAGTCTCAGGAGAAACATCATTATCTTCAGAGTTTTCAACCACCAGCTATCAAAGTCAATGAACAACTGTATTCCATCACTCTACTGTCGTTGTTGGTGAGTTTGTGCACTCAGTTCCAGCAATTCTTTCCTGATGTATCTTGTGTTACTGATGAAGCAGTTTTTGAAGGAAATGCATTCTATTTATTCAACCTGCTCTTCCCTCATACATTTACTAAGTGACAAAGAGAGCACAGAGTAAGAATGAACCCCATCATCCAAACAGAGATGCCATTAAGACTGGAAGAAATCACAAGGACCAAGTAAAATAGAATCTATTAAGTACGATTTGCTTTACTTGTAGTAAGACTTCAGTTGAATTTCAACAGTAAAGAAATATTAGTAAAATTAGCTAGTCATTAAAAAGAGACTATCATTTTTACACCAGAGAGACTGTTACACCCCACATATATTACAGATACAAGCTGTAAAGTGGCTAACAGAATTAATGCTGGTTCTCTACAAATGTGTCCCTTGTTCCTTAATTCCATTCATCTCTTAACACAGTGTTAGTCCATTTCGCCTATGACTCCCACATCACATTTCTGAAATACTCTAAATCCCTAACATCTCTCCCCTGACGTTCCTGCAACACTTCCTACAGCTCCAGCCTAACTTTCTTAGGTTGCTAACCAGACAACAGGAACAAAATGCTACAGATAATCAGGAGCTGATTGTTCAGGCAATATAAACACATTGATTGACCAGTTACCAAAAGATTTATAAACATCCAGCATGCTCATTGCCTTTCCCCAATGGGAATATTAACTTATTTTCTGCTCTTGTGTTTATTATTATGAAACTTATGGTCCCTTAACAGCCCTGAGACTGTCACTTATCTATCACAAGTGGTCAAAACCATCCAAAAGGTTGAACAGTTATCAGTTAATTGGATGTTCATAATCTTCTTGTTTCCTTAGAAAATCATGTTTAAATAGCAACTGAAGTGTGTAAACTGCTTAACCCATTAATTATACAGATAAAACAATATAAAAAAGCAAGAAAAATTATGACTACCTCAATTGTTAAGATGACTGGTTCCAGCTCTTCATACTCTATCTTCACTTTCGCATCTGCTTGTCTGGCATGAGCATCCGAATGCGCAACCACAGCACAGACAATCTGACCCACACAAACCACCTATAAAATACACATTGCTTAAGAGAACAGTGGATTCAAGTTATTCCCATATTTGCTGCTGATACTCTTTTTTTCCCCATGTCACCACTGTTCTTGTTTCCTTTTTAGAATTTTGTTTTGGCTTAGGATCTTCATGTTTTTTAGATGAAGCTAACAAATTATCAGAAATACCAGTATGACTGAGGAATCAAAGAAAACACAGTACTCAAAAAAGGGTGATTTCATGGAAATATACTCTTCCCACAACTCAGATGGTTTTGTGAGGTTTAATCTGTGTTCTTCTAATTTATATATTTTCTCTAAGCAGAATATAATGCACGTCAGCTATTTTGAAGCTGAAAAAGGAGTAGTGAAGAATTTACCTTGTTATATGCCTAAAGAAATTCCCTGATGTTCACATAATATAGAAATTTAATATAGAAATTTAAGTGTTCATCATAAAAATCTGAAGTAAAACAGTAAAAATGAAGAAAATTAGTTTAAAATACTGTAGTTATACCTTGTTTCTTGCAAATATCATCTCTGGATCAGTGGCACTGGAGTCCTAAAACTCATTTGTAGCTGGTACATCGTTAGCTGTTATGACATCGAACACATCTGGTCCTTTTAGAGCCTCTGAGGTATCTACAGATCTGATTGGGATATGGAAAGTGTAATTCAAAGCATTGCACAGAGGAAGAAAAAACACTACAGAGGTGTGTTTCTTACACTGCCAGATCTGCTTATAGGTTCAGACATGTTTTTTCCTTCTATCTAGGGCATGCGAATAAGTGCAGGTCAAAGGCAATTTAAAATTCCACTAACTTGCTTCACTTCTAGGAAATACTCTAGATGCAACACTGGCCCATTAGACTTCATTGACTTAATAAAAGTAACTGCCCAATTATGATGTTGTGACTGCAACTTTCTAAGCCCTCACAGCCTGCAGAGGTATAAAACTGATACAACTAAGCATTTACAAGCCAAGAGTTAATGTAGAGAACTACATTAAAAATGTCCAGACCCATATAAATGGAGAATGAATGGGTGCAGAAGGATCAGAAAGAATGGCAGAAGGTCTGTAAGAATGGTGTGTTTTGATAGCACCTAGTTTAGCAGGTCATCAAGACACCAGCACATTTACATGCATCTTCTCTGCACACCCAGATCAGAAAACAAAGGAGAGTGAATAAATCCTTCTGACTCGCAGAGATGAGGGTGATGTCAGCTCCTTGGCGGTACCAAAAAGGGGACATCCAAACCCAGCATGTTATCACCAACGTAAGAATAATCCAGGAAATATAACAAGGACTCTACAGATAGCAATGCCAGTCCTCTCTGTCATCACAGTTAATCCTGACCAGACCACCTGGATACGTCTTGGTGCCTGGACGCTGGGCAGATAACTTAGATTGTGCATTGTCATGCCTGAACATTGAATGAACTGCTAGAATATGTGCATCTTGGCTGTACAAAAACATATGTGAAATGTTTTCTTTCAAAATAAAATCCTCTTCCTATCTTCCTCTTCTACAAGGCCTTAGATGAGCTTTGCTACCTTGTTGCTGCAGTGTTGCAACACTATTTCCTACATTTTGAACAATTCTGCTTTTTCTTAATAGAGTTGGGATTTCAAAGCTATGTTGCTGAAGCTGAATTTCGGAGCCTGCTTGCACTGCACAGTTCAGCACTTTGTGGAGGTATCTAGGCTAGCTGTAGGCTGGCTTACTGGCCAGAAACAGTCAGTAATATGGAGTGAGACAAATCCACTGGAGACAAATCTACCAGAGTTACAATATTGCTTCCAGAATGTGAGCCAGTGGGGGTACCAAGCACGGTGTTGTGTATACACGTAGCTTGTTAGTCTGTCCTAAAAATTTTAGACAGCAATTCATAATAAGACTTTCTTCAAATACACTTTGAACACTTACACAATCTTAGCGTGGGCTCTGGAACTAGTGACAACAACCAGGAAGAGCTCCCCATCCACCAAAGGAAGGTCATCAATATAAACTGCTTCAGTGGCATGTTTAATTCCAGACAGGTGCATGATTGGCCATCCTACAGGATCCTGTGGAGACTGACTTGGCTCTACGTCCTGTACAGGCGAAAATACACACCCCCACCCCAAACAGTAGTCAGAAAATCAGATGAATGAACAACTGCCTATTATCACCATCTGGTTCAATATTGAAAACGGATGTGGATGCAGGACGTGATTGTTCCTCCTGGAGATAGCTTCATTTTTTCTCTTAAGGAGCCTTCTGAGAGCCTTGCACAAGTTTGTCTACTTAGACTTTTTTTCCTTAATTGTTTACATCGAAGTGACACAAAACACACGTCTTTTTCAGCAGGACTTACTAATTGATGTAATGAAGCTTTGATAATTTTCCAAATTATTTTCACAAGATTCTGCTCTGTATTTTACCAGTGTCTGGTAACATACTTTGAGCTATTTGCAGTCTTCCTCACTGAAAGATTGTAACTGATCAATGTAAATCAGGGAGAAGGTATTGTTTAAATATTTCCTTCCTAATTTTATTTCCGTATACCTGTGTGTCAGTTAGTACCTTATTAACGTTCGGTTCCCATGTGTTGCCTGATCTAGTCGAGAGGTGGTTTCCCTGCCGACAGGAAGGCTGGATTAAAATGATCTCTAAGGTTCCTTCCAGCCTGGGCCATTCTATGATTCTATGATTAACCTTACTTTGCTAAGTCTTTCCTGAAAGCTATTTTGGCATTGCCAGTTAATTCTGCCACACCAACTAATTGTCTTCCAATTTCTGGGTTAGTGTTCACACTAACTTTTTCATCTTCTACATTTAGAACTAGTTAATCGATCATGACTTAAAACCTTTTTTCTTTTATAGCTTCTAGCACACAAATGCTCTGGCTACACATTTCTACCTTTCTAGCACACTGTCTACTATTAGCCCAAAGCCAAGAACAGATATTTTTCACTCAGTTGCCTGAAGTTCCTCAGATGGCTATCTCAGCCAAACCATCTCAATTTTTCCATTAGCAGCACAACCAAGTATTTATCTTTCAGGATATGCATTCTTTTTTCCCCTTAATTTCAAAAGCTTAATAATGTTCCGAAGAAAAACTCCAAACAAAAAGGACTTGCAAAAATTAGACAGAAATTTAAAGTGAAAACCCCCAAATTTTCTAGGTTTCTAAATAATTTCTGTTGCTCAGTACCAACTGATATGAATAACAAACTGGTTTTTTCTGTTGCCTAGTCACTTTCCTGCAGCTGAGGACTAACTGCTGAAAATTATAAAAGAACCAGTTCCTTTGATCCTGGCCCCTTTTATAAGTCTGTAAGGTCTTTTTTTTTTATGATACCTCTGAAAGAAGCTGAAGATGACTTGAACAGATTCAAAGCTAAAATGTTATTCTAAAAAATATCTGTCAATGAAAAAGATGTTTTGTTATATTTCATTTGAATTTTCTTTAGGTTTTCAAAAAGTTGAGCTTTTTACTTGTATACTGAGGCTATCAAAATATCAAAAAACGTTGCAGGGCTTCCCAACATGATTTCCTCACAAGGGTGAGCTCAGAAAGTCCAAAAGGTGTTCTTTGCTGCCCTCTACTGCTAACTTCTCTTTGAATACTCTTGTTAATTTAATCAGCTAAACATAGATTTATAGAATAGCCTATGCTGGAAGGGACCTTAGAGATCATCTAGTCCAACCTCCCTGTCATGGCCAGGGACGCCTTTCAACTAGATCAGGATACTCAAGGCTCCGTCCAGCTTGGCCTTGAACATCTCCAGGGAGGAGGCAGCCACACCATCTCTGGGTAATTTATTCCAAAGTCTTGCCGCGCTCGTACTGAACAATTTCTTCCTAAGATCTAAACTAAATCTATTCTCCTTCAACTTAAACCCATTTCATCATCACAGACTACATCTTGATTCTTAAATCTACAGCAAGACCTAAAAGCCCTCTGACATATTTAGGAAAGTGTATCTTGAGACAAGAATACTACAGTGATCGCTAGAGACTTGGGCTTTTCAATCTTTTTGATTTTCTTCTTCCTTTCTTCCAGTCGGGTTGTACGCTGCAATATGCCAAGCTGAAGCAGTCTGACAGCGGACTTGCTCAACACATTTATCTTCCGAGAACTGTTCAGAACATGTGAGTCTGTATGAGTCTATTTTTGCAGACAAGGTTTTCCTAATTGAGATACAGTTAAAATCAACCACTAAGAGCAGGTTGCCTTCAGTCCTTTGGGAACTTTGTGCCTGAGCTTCAAACAAAGGCATTAGCTTGAACTGTGACTTTTACCAAGTCTTACAAATCACAAGAACAATCTTAGAACAAAATAACTTGCCTGGTATATTTGGATAGTCTGGGGCATTCTGGTTTTGAAATCTTGTAGGACGCTCCTATATTCCATAGGTATGCTGGGGTAGCAGCAAGGATCCTGAAAAGAAAGTGAATTACAACTAAAACTTAGATTTTTAACATTCCAACTAAGAAAATAACAACCAAAATCATCAAATACAGGAAATTTCTTCAAGACTCTCACAAGCCAGAAAGACCCTAAAATAACAATTTTAAAACAATGTAGAGTTTTGAGATTTCATTAAAAATACTTGAAAATATATTGGATTCAATAAATATGCTTGTTTAAAGTAAGCAATATAAAGCAGGGATAGTTAAAAGAGCTTTGTTCTGGGATCTGGTCAAAACTGACTCAGAATCACTACTGGTAAGAGTAAATTACTTAGTAATGGTAATTAAGAGTGAAGAGCTCAAGGTAATACAGAAGAGAAAGGTGAAAGGGGTATTTTTCCTCATAAAAACAGATTTAAGACAAGAAAAAAGTAAATTACACCTAGAATGTATTGGGAAGTGAAATTTTAGAGTCCTCTCAGAGTCAACAACTCGTACAAGGAGGAAGGCTGGTCTAACACCTATAGTTGCTTTCCAAACCCTTTTTCTTGACTGTCTCTTCATGTTTTGAAGTACACACAGGTGGAGTAAGTTTGTATATTTCTGACCTATGTTTTCTTTTGGCCTGAGAGTGCAATACTGAAAAACTGTTGCATTAACATTACTCAATTTTTTTGTCAAGCCTAATGTCCAAGTGCACCTAGAAGCACATACATTCTTCAATAGATTTGAACCCCAAAGACAGTATTAGCACATTGTACAAAGTGCAAGCATCAACAGCTGGAAAAAAAACCCCAAGAACTTTCATTTGCTTGCACAGAAGCAGACAAGGAGAACTCACTTACTATTGCATTTAGTGACTGCAACACTTCCAGGTAAAATCTGTAGAAGAAATTGACTATCAAAGTTTTCTTATAGTCTACGTTTTCACCACTGGCTAAGCCTGAAAGAGCAATTTCTTTAAGAACTAGTTGGCAAGCTTCATCCAACATTTCTTCATTCCAACATCTGTCAGAAAGAATAATAAGATGCCATCAGACCAAGACTCAAAAAAATAAATACAAATTGCAATAATACATTTGTACTATAGACCACAGGTATAACCCTGCTCCTAATGAAGCCAAAATACCGATTTTCAATAATGGCCTGCAATTTTGAAAACAGCGTAACAGAACTAAGGTCCCTTAAGTCAATGGAACTGAATGGTATGCCACCCTTCTAAATATAAATAAATAAATACATAAATAAAGCCTATTACAGCTTTAAAGTCAATTTAGCAATCTTACAGATTATCACTATTCTGCAGACACCTTCATATATTTAAAGAAAAGTAGATAACGATATTGATGAAAATTGTAGATGCTTTCAAGGAATCTGATTAGTGCTGGATGGCTGTTACATTTTCTTGAAAGGCTATGTCCTTGAAGCATCTCAATACAGTTTATTCTTCATTGTTACACAACCCTAGATATCGAAATATAAATCTGTTTAATAATGTAAAGCAGCAAAAAATGAGTACTTCAACTAGTGAAACAGTTGCGTAATACACAGTAAACAGTTCAGTGGAATTCTGTTTAAATAAATGGTTTTATACTGCTTGAATTATTTGCAAATTTTTTTCCTGCAGAACTTGGAAAGGTGCTGCAAAGTGGGAGAAAACGTCAGGATTAACTTCAGAGATATCAGGATCTTGCAGATGAAGAGATACCAAAAACGTTAAGGCTTGATTTGCACTTCTAAGTTTATTGGGCACATCTGAAGTTCCCAAACTTTGTACCTATTGGAGCCAAACTGAAGGACTCATGAACACTGATACAAGGGGATTATCAAACCTACGGGATACAGCATCATTCACCAGTGCTTGGGTTCAGGTTCACATCTGACTGTGTGCACCTCATCCACCTATCTCACTGCTCTTATATCTCTCTGCATACCTCACACCAGAACTGCACCCACGTACGGACTCCAAAATGTAACAATCCTGAAAAGTCCTCATTAAGACTTGACCAGGTATTTCACTTGAACACAGGTGGCATCAGCCAGGCAAGTCAAATCTTTCTCTACCTTCATGCTCCAAGAACTTACACTCAAGCTCTTAAAGTCCCTTTTTTCAGAGATAGAGAGAAGGTGGAGAAATTGTACCTTCTGGTAAGTGTCCAACAGGTTTGTTTTGCACAGATTGTGGTGGAGACAACACCTCCATAGAAAATGCTTAAATCCTTTATTATGTCTGTACGTTCTTCAAAAAGGACTCTCATCCCAGCATTAGTTATTGCGAGAGCATTTTCCCGTCTTGGTGCTTGTCGAAATGCAGAGACATACTCCCCCTGAGCAAGATAAGACAGAAGTTGGCAACCTGCAGATGTGTAACTATCTGGAGTAGAACTTGTTATTGCACTACAAGAAGCAAGAGAATAGGAAACAAAGTGAACAAAATAAACTTCCTGAGCATTCAAGACCATGTACTTCCTTCTCTTGACCTTTCAGTAGATGTACATCTTCGATTTTCTAGCAGCCCATATGCAAGCTTCCACAATCTACACAGTTCAGACAACATATCGGTACTCAGGTAACGTGATCCATAATTCTCTCAGAGAACCCATTTCCACTCTTGCAAACACAACACTAGTTCAGCAATGTTTATGGAAGCACCATACACATGTCCAATCTTATCTCATTTTAAGAAAAATCATCAAGATATGACAATGTTTTACCTGCTTGACGCCAATCATAACACAGGAGAGCAGCCTGCTTTGGTAAGGATTACGGCACCGTGTCTGAGACCCCTTTCTGCAAGGGGTCTAGGCAATTGCTACTGCCCCCATCAATTTAGAGTAAACTTTTGTCTGAATATCACTCCTTATATATCATCAGCTACCTGCTGAGTTGTGGTTTTTGGCTGAAACTTGGCATGGCACTGATAGGATCAAACACAAGGACTTCAGAAAGTGAGCAGTAATGCTGTTACTTTAAACACTGGAATTATTCCCCCACCTGCTCTTTATTTCATAGTCTTTAACTCCACATAAAGCAAATCTAAACAAACTAGCAACTTACCTTTCTAGAATGGGGAATAAGGACAGAGACTAAGATCTCTTCTGATGTAATAGTATTGCTACCAACTCCACCTGCAAAAACATCACTCAAAGGAATCTGTTGCTCTCTTCATAAAACAAAAAAATCCCAAATGCAGAAACTTCTGCATAATTGTACAATTAACATACATCATTCATCATTAAACAATAACATTGACAAGTATTTTTCCTTTCAATGCCAGCCTGCACAGGAAGAAGTAACAGAAGTCACACAGTGTAAGTTTTTGTGTAACTGCTTCAAGAAATCTTGGCGCAGAAACAACCCCTTAAAGAACATGTGTTTCAGGGTGCTGAGTGGAGTATTACACGGTCTGAAATGGCAACATGCACTCTGTCTGGATACAGGGCGAGGACACAAGGCATCTAGAAGAGAGAGCATGCAATTCCAGGCCATCAGATAGCTCGTGTTTACCAATAATTTCACCAACCTTTCAATGGTAAAATAGTGCAGAAGAAAAGGAGCAGGCAGAGAAGAGTATATATACAGTGATGGAAGGAAGCTGAGGAAACGGGCATAGAAAATAGTGCTGGACCAGTGGCTCCTGTATCAGAAGTGATTACTAGTGAGGAATGAGAAGGCAGAGTTCTTCTCATGGCCAGAGTGTGAATGAAAACTAGGACAAAGCACCAATTACAGGAAAAAATAGTACTGGGACAGTGGGGAGGTAGTATACAGCTACTCAGATTGCGAAGTTTTGCGAGTGCTTGTAGTAATTCACTGCCCACAGAGGTACATGTGATCTGGTTAGTCTGAATGCTTACCCTTGGCATAAGAATCTTTGACTTGTTGTTTGCTAATTGCTGCTCTTGCGATCTTGTGTGAGAGTGGGAAAAAGCTTCCTTAGTAACCTGTTTTTATTTCCTCTCTCCTGTTGCCTATCGAGGCGTAACGACCT